TTTTGAGATATAGGTGGATTTAAATCTTTTTCATTATTAATACTTAAAGGTGAAAGTGGTAATTCTTCTGAAAAAAACATTTTTAATGCAATTTTTTGGCGTAATGAAAATCTTTATATCTGTTACTATTTATAGGTAATCTGTTAATTTATCTGCAGATAATTACAGATGATCTGCAGATAATTATAAATAATCTGCAATTAAATTATTTTATTCAGATATTTACATTATCCAGATAAATTAATGATTTGTACAGATAATATATCTGCAGATCATTTTTCTAATGATTCATCATCATTCTTTTTGAACAATATTTTTATTGTTCAAGTTAAACGATTTGTTATTATTCTTCTTGAATGATTTTTTTATCATTCAAGTTGAACAATTCCTTATCATTTTTCTTAAATGATTTTTTTATCATTCAAGTTGAACGATTTCTCATCATTCTTCTTGAATGAATTTTTTATCATTCTAGTTAAAAGATTTATCATCATTTTTCTCAAATAATGTTTATTATTTAAGTTGAACAATTTTTTATTATTTTTCTTGAATGATTTTTTTATTATTCAAGTTAAATGATTCCTTATCATTTTTTTGAACGATTTTTTTTATTGTTTAAATCAAATGATTCTTTATTATTTTTTTTGAATGATTTCTTTTATTGTTCAGTCAAACGATTTCTTATCATTCTTTTTGAACAATTTCTTTTATTATTCAAATTGAATGATTCTTTATCATTTTTCTTAAATGATTTCTTTTATCATTCAGTTGAATGATTTTTCATTATCTTTCTTGAACGATTTCTTTTATCATTCAGTCAAATAATTCCTCATTATTCTTCTTAAATGATTTCTTTTATCATTCAAGTCAAATTATTTTACATTATTTTTTTTGAACAATTTCTTTTATCATTTAAATCAAACAATTTCTCATTGTTCTTCTTGAATGATTTCTCATTATTTTTCTTAAACAATTTCTTTTATTGTTTAAGTTGAATGATTTCTCATCATTCAACTAAAACAAATTTTTTATCATTCTTCTTGAATGATTTCTTTTATCATTTAAGTTAAACGATTCATCATTATTCTTTTTGAACAATTACCTTAATATTCTTCTTGAATGATTATTTCTTGATTGTTCAAGTTGAATGATAAATTTTCTTCTTGTAAAAAAAGAATTAATCACTTCATATTCATTTACCAATAGTAATATTATATCTGATGTCTATTTCAGCATAAAAAATAATATGTATAGTATTATAATTTTTAATTAATATAATAAAAATTTTATTTTTTTTAAATATAAATAATAAATATAAAAAAGATAAAGTATATAATATAAATATAAAAAAAAATTATATATATAATAAATATTAACTGTCTATATACATGTATATAATATATATAAATTTAAAATTTTTATAAATTTATTAATTCACTATCAATCTAACTTTTCAAGCATAATGATGCTTTAGCCTTTCTGAATCTAATCTGTTTCTTATTTGACTAATTGTATTTTTAGTCAAACTAAAAGCTTATTCACTTGATATACTTGCTGTTTATATAGATAAATAATCTTTTGCCATATATATAAGTGCAGAATATTTTGAATTTTGTTCTCTAGCTTTATACCAAATTAAAGAATCAATATCCTCTTCAGATGAATTTAAATAAGTTTCTAATATTAATATTATTATTTTATGATATTTTAATCTTTTTCTAAAATAATTTTTTGAAGAGGTATCTTCATTAACTAAAGCTTTTAAAAAAACATTAGTTATAATCAAATAACGTTCATACTTTTCTTTAAAAGATTCTTTTGTCTCATTTATATCTATTTCATCAAATATTAATAATTTATAAGATGAATTAATTATTGAAGATATTTTTGAACTTTCTTTAAGATAATTTTAGTATCCATATAATTTGTTATTCATTATAATTACAATAAGAGATAATGTTGTTAATGAATTTTTCAATATTTTTGATTTAAGTAATTTCATAATAATTATAAAGGCTATACATAAATCTTCTTGTGTAGAATATGATAAACCAGATATAAGTTTAATAGCTTCATATATTGGTTCCATTAATATACAAATATCCTATTATATTTTATAATATTAATATTTTATTAATAATATTTTAATAAATACATTAATATCATACCAGTCTTCATTTATTGGATATATATTTTTTAGTTGACTATTACTAGCAACTAAAATATCTATCATATTTTTAATTCTACAAAATTTTTGAATTGATAAATATAAAGAATTCCACCTTGTTGAAATATTTATATCAGGTATCAAGAAATGGTTCTTAATCTCGTTATTTTTCCATTTCATTTCGGAAATTACCGTTATAGTAAAATATTAGGAAATAATTTATTTAGTATTTATAAAATTTAAAATAATATGTTATAAATAATAAAGGACCGGTCCTCAGAACATGGACCAAGGACCGCAAGGACCGGTCCCATTAACCGGTCTAAGACCGGTCTTATCAGGATCGATTCATCCCTATACCAAATACATTGTAATTAAATGTAACTTCTCTGATAACTGACTTGATTTTGATATCATATGATTTAGATTAACAAACAATAAGGTTGCACGGTCAGCCTACAAGAGCACAGCCCGCGTTATAAAAACACGTGATTTACTGAACTTGGTCAGAAAGTTGATCGAATATAATCTGGTTTCTTTTGCCCTAGTTATACAAGACAAAATATAACCTTAGTAAAGACATTTTAAGAAATTTTATGTTCCGTGATGCTAGTAAAGTCTTCAGAAATTTATATGAAAATGGTCATTAGTTTGCAAGCTTCGAAACGTTGAATTTCTTGGACCCCGTCAACAATAATTTATCATGATTTATCAAATTCGCTGTATTTTTAAATCTCCTAGTTACTGTAACTAGTTCAGAAACAACTACGGTCTTTACAGAGGCTTATCGTCTCTCCACCATTCACAATGAAAAGAAATTAACTGAAGAGGAAGTTGTTGCTTTATTCAAAATCAGCCCTCTCTGCATGTCTAAATGAGGACACGAGACTTAACTTTTGAGATCTTTAATAGTCCCTACGCCTGGTATGTTCTCACACAGATACAAGTGATTTAATTTTTTGATCCGTAGCTTTATTCTCGCCTGCGTTGTGTCATATAACTGTTTTTATCATTCGTATTATTTACATGCTGTCTTGCTGGAAGATCAATCACAAAGTAAGTACTCCATGTGAACTTAATATATTTTAAGTGAGGAGACATTAGGCTTATTCATTTATTTTGCAGGAAAGCATACGAGTTCCGAAAATGCGGATCACGATAAAAAGTCTAATAAATGTAAGATATTTCCTTTTATTGTAACCGAATCTTAATTGATCTTCATATTTTAGTTGCAATTACTAAAGGATTGAAAACAATTGACAATGTACTTCCATGGAACAAATCCCATCCTCTTCCTAACAATATCTATTTTCTTAATCAAAATTTTCGTCCGGAAAGCATATAAGGAACTTTGGGAGATTATCTCTATACAGCATCCCGAACATGATTTCCTAATTACAGGAAATCCAGGAACTGGCAAAACCTTTTTCAATCTTTTTTTTATTGTGCATACTTATTGGAAATGGTAAAACGGTGGTCTTTCAGAATCCTGATCAAAAAACTTGTTACAAATTCAGCGACGGGACTGAGGAGTGTACCTCAACACGATTATGTTACCTAGTTAGACTGTTAGATAGGCAGATATCAGTACAGCAAGAACAGAATGCAGATGATGAGACGTTTATGAGACGTGGAGACTCGGGTTGCACATGGTTCGATCAAGAAGGGATTTGGGTCATGGTGTACTCCGTATAAATAATTTGGATCCTTCTTGATGATCCACAAGTATATTATCTTTAGACACTATGTAACCTCAAATAAAGCCAAACACAAAGAATACGAAAAAGGAAAGTTAATTGATACAAGGATTATTCCGACATGGGATTTAGAAGAACTGGAAGCCCTCCATCAACATATTTATATTAACACAGACTTTACTAAGTTGAGAAAATTTTACGCTTTATGAGGTGGAATACCAAGATACGTTATAGAAAAGAAAGTTCTCAGAATCTTCTTGAGATGGCTTTATTACAGCTGCGACAGGAGTCATCTTCGCCTCCAAATGGGTGGCTAATTATCTAATCAACCGTTTTGAAAAATTATGCTTTGAGAAATCACCCGATTAAAGCTCATTGGGTGGAAAACATTATGAATATTGGAACAAGCCAAGACTCTTACGAGTTCTACTTTGTTGTTCATCTGAAATATGGAATGATTTCACCAAACAAACGTATGTTAATCTAAAATATAAAGATAGAACGATACGAGGTCGTATGTTCCGTGATGCTAGTAAAGTCTTCAGAAATTTATATGAAAATGGTCATTAGTTTGCAAGCTTCGAAACGTTGAATTTCTTGGACCCCGTCAACAATAATTTATCATGATTTATCAAATTCGCTGTATTTTTAAATCTCCTAGTTACTGTAACTAGTTCAGAAACAACTACGGTCTTTACAGAGGCTTATCGTCTCTCCACCATTCACAATGAAAAGAAATTAACTGAAGAGGAAGTTGTTGCTTTATTCAAAATCAGCCCTCTCTGCATGTCTAAATGAGGACACGAGACTTAACTTTTGAGATCTTTAATAGTCCCTACGCCTGGTATGTTCTCACACAGATACAAGTGATTTAATTTTTTGATCCGTAGCTTTATTCTCGCCTGCGTTGTGTCATATAACTGTTTTTATCATTCGTATTATTTACATGCTGTCTTGCTGGAAGATCAATCACAAAGTAAGTACTCCATGTGAACTTAATATATTTTAAGTGAGGAGACATTAGGCTTATTCATTTATTTTGCAGGAAAGCATACGAGTTCCGAAAATGCGGATCACGATAAAAAGTCTAATAAATGTAAGATATTTCCTTTTATTGTAACCGAATCTTAATTGATCTTCATATTTACTGTTAAAAAAACAAATAAATACTTTGGCAAAACACTCGATTTCAATTTCTTCAATGATTAATTTCCTTCATTTATTCTATATGAACTTGTGATATTTAATTGATTGTTAAAACCACAAACCAATTCATTCTCGAGCATGATGAAAATGATGTCAAGCTTTTATTGTTTATGGATAATATCCTACGTCGGAAACTTTGCTACAAGACACCATGGATTTTAATGTTCAAAAATTCTTTTTACGAATACTTTGGATTTCTAATATTTTAAACAATTTATTTTTTTTTTTTTTTGGAATTCATCTCATTAGATCGTCTTTGGGTACTTACCTCACAAGTGAAAAAAGACAACTCTTTTTACTACTTAGTATAAAATTTTTATATTTCTATTTAATTGTTTCCATAATTACTTATCTTTTTATTTATATAATAGTAATATAAAATTCTTTAATATAAAAGCAACGAATTCGTTTCACCGATGAAATTATGATATTCGGATTTTCGGATCGTTTAATGATTTTCCATTAACGATCTTTCCATTAATGAAATTAGGATCATTTATTGAGACTTTTATTAGGGATTCGGTTTTTTCAACGGCGTTTCGAATTTTATATCGAACTTTGAATCATTGTTGTAAAAATATTTTAAAAGCTTAAATATAAGCAATGAATGTATTTGATTGGTTATATAGTCTTTTACATCTTTATATGCTTTTTATCATAAATCATAATTCGAGAATCACATACATTGTTGCCTAATTCATCATACTCATAATTCATTGCACTTTAAATTTCAGGAGCCTTTCTTAATCAGATTCATTCATGTTTCCTGAAGGTAATGAATCAGTATTCAGCAGTACAGAGAGATTTTGATTGGCCAAATACCATCTCGTTAAGAAAATAGAAAACATTTATTGGGAATTTTTATGCATATCTTTACACTGTCTGTTTAATTAAAAATATAATTTTTAATTAACCTTTAATGTAAGTTTGTCAGTAAGGGAATCCCTTAAATAAGCATAAAAGCATCGATGCATCAACGTCGATCCCCTAAAAAAAAATGCAGGGTCCGTGGGATTTCGGAATCCAATATCAGAAAATTTTGATTATATCATCCATACTATATAAACCGTTTTTTTTTTTTTTATTTTATACTTTTTTACTTTCTAATGTATTGGGTACATTCTCGATCAATTTACCAAAAAAAACGGCGGGAAAATTTTCAATTGGGAAGCGTAAATATTGTTGACTTTGCCCTGATCGAATCCGTAATTCCCTAAAAGCGAATCATGCACATTTATGGGGGGTATAAACAAGTATGCAAAAGACTTTTCTTGACATCAACCTGCATGACAATTATTTCATATATAACCTTGTATGCAGTCACAAGCAGTTTCGCACTACATTTTGTAAAAAATGGATGTGGACGAGAATAAAAGCAAAGATAGTTCAAATACCTCGATACTGCGTAATGTATCCATGAGGAGGCCTAGAAGAGGTACTTTAAGTGGTGGCGATGCCTCGAATACTAGTACAAAGCAAAAAATTGCAACTGCTATCAATCACATAGTACACAGACGTGCTTCGCTTTCGACTCAAAGACCTAAAGATTTCCTGGCTGGGATAATTACTCCACGTAATGAACAGATAACTCAGGCGCGAAACACACCACCTACTAGTCCTACTATTGACAAAACTTTGCAATTACCACCACCACCACAACAGCAACAGCAACAGCAACAACAACAACAACAACAACAATTACAATCACAACCACAAACACCACAAGTTCGACGACAAGAACAAGAACGGTTACAGGACATTAATAGAACTACAAGTATATCACCTCGTCCTCCTAGTACACATAGTTCGCATCATTTATCTATATCACCTACTCAACCGTCTTTCCTATTATCTGCCACTGTTGAAGAAGGCTCTTTGGTTGAAAACAACATTGACGCTTGTAATGATTCAGTTAATAATAATAATAATAATAATAATAATAACTCATCCAGCAGACGTTTTGGTCCTAATTCATCTAGTTCATCGGTTTCTTCACATAAAAAACAAAATTCATCATTATTTCCAAGAGACAATAAAAATATACCAAAAGATGATCGAATGGATAAATTGCTAAAGAAAGCAAAAAACTTTCTAGATCACAGACAACGACCGAAATCAAGAATTGCTTCTTTATGGAGTTTTATCGGTGAGTACATATTCAGGTCGGATTTTTTATTTTTGACGCGTCTTATTATTAATTGTTATAACAACAAGCTTATATATGCTAATTATCAGACTTTTACTTTAATTGAAAATTTTTATTATTTTAAATTTAATCATATAGTAACCTTTTTTTTTTTCTGTAATGTTCTTTTAAAAAATAATGTGAATAAATCAAAGATGTTTCAATTGAATTTGATCAAGCCCAATTCTTTCAACAGCATGCTGAAGAGGTTTTCGATGTAATTCACAAATCATTTATGAGCCAAGTTGATAAAATTAAACGTGAGAAAATAATTTTTTTATTTTTTAAAAAAAAAAGGTTGACGCTATTAAATATTAATTTTAATCTACATAAATAGAAAAATCAGAACGTCCTATGTCATTTTCATCAAAAGAATTTTTAAATATAAACAAGACTCTACTTTTATTACGAAAAGTCTTTTTATTTTTACCTGAACGAATAAGGGGTGGATGGCAACGCAGACAAATAGGTACTTTGTTATATTATGAAAAAAATTGCTTACAAGTAATCTGACATAATATATAATTTATTGATGAACCTTTTAAAAAGCTGAAATGTTATCACACCTCCTCGATCACGGGAATCACCCTCGAGTTCGAATACAGGGATTTCAACTTTTATTGTTATGGATTAATGATCAAACAATAGAACTTACGGAATGCATGCATTTATATGCAAATGCAATCTCTTTGGATTTGTTCTTGTATGATCAAATACGAACTGGGTGTGATGATTATCAAGGAAAAGAAAAAATGTGGAGGTCTAGAAGGACCATATCACTTGGACAAATATTAATTAAAGGTAGGACCGATAAGAGAGTAGATTTAATATATATTATAATCTAATTTTACAGTACTAACTAAATATTCTAATGTGTAGCTGACGATAGAGGTGCTTTGTTCCCAAATCCTCATCCACCATCATTTCATGATGCTGTTCAGTTGATTCAGCTAGATCTTAGCAGTCTAGTTAGGCTAGCTCATGTTGCAGCAGGTTCAACTCCCCCATCAGAGAATTATGAATTTCCTGTCAATGAAAATATTGAGCCAGATAATGGAATCGCTATTGGCATGGGAATTGATGCTGCATTTGCTGCGGCGAAATTTCATTTCGAACTGACAAAAAAACAATATTTAGTAAAATTATTTCCACAATGCGCAAAGAAACTTTTGTTAATACCGTCAAATCAAGGCAAGATATATTATTATTTAAATATTGAATTATTCATATATATTTATTGACATGCTTTATTTTTATAAAGAAATTGGATTTCAAAAATGCCCTCCTACAATATTGCGTGCATTTATAAATTTCTTGATAAATCATTGTCTTGATAATAATGATATGATTTCCGATACAATATCCTCATATCCCTCACCTGCTACGCCGATATTAAAGTCGATTGTATTGGGTGCAGGAAATCGGGAATTTGCTCACGAGATTGTAAAACAGGCTCTCATGCTACCAGCTGGCAGTCCGTTATACAAAGATATAGTTAGGGGTGCTGTTCACATTGTAGGAGTCTGGATATTAAGTGGGGTTAGTATAAATATTGATGATAATGACCCATGAAAATCAAAGACTGCTAATTTTTTTTTTTTAAAAAAAAATTACATTTAATTGGGAATAGCGATTTTAGATTTTTATATTCATTTTATCTTGTGTTTATGAATTAATATCTAAAAAAAAAAAAAAAAAAAATATCATAGGAAGAAGAGAGACCAGTTTTTCTTCGTAAATCACCACCACCTCCTCAACCAATATGTTCTGCAAATTCTGCGTTCACTTCTTCTATATTTGCTTCATCATCTCACACATCTTTAACATCTCCAGAATGTCTAAGTGAACCATCATATACATCGGTTAACACCCCATTGTCAGCTACTTCTTTAAGTACAACATTTGCTAATGCGAATGTTTACCTTCGTAGATATATTGTGTTATTAACACTTGTTTTCGAAGATCATTCTTCCCTGACTATCGATGGAGGAATGGCAAATGTCGAAGTGGAAGCACAAGTGTCGATTTATCGTGATGTGTTGGCATTATACCGTTCAATGATGGCAGAGGGTCCAATTGAATTAGAGCCAGCTACGTGGTATATGATAAGATTAATAGTATTATTTTTCATTTAAGCATAGTTCGAATAATGTAACTAAAAAATTCTTACGATTAAGGGAGACGTTGCTTTCATCACTTTTGGACATACAAGAGAGGACTATGAATCAATCTGAGAAATATGCACCAATATCTACGGTTGCGTTGGCTAATGACTTTGCTGATTATTTAGTTGAAGTATGTGTTTTTGCTGGTTGAGAAATAATTTATTGAACATATTAGAGGATCTGAAATCTGAAATTAAAAGGCAATTGCTTTTACAATAAAATAATAGACTGTATTATACGCATTTGCCCGGTCAAAAACTCAACAAATTACATTATGGCGTGCACTGACAAACCGTATGAGTATTAGTTTGGGATGGTCGCAGACTATATCACAATGGGCGGTAAGCTGTCAATATACATATTAATTTTGTTTAAGAAATATTAAATCTCACTTTAACTTTAATTCTCTTTAGAAAATTATGTTAAGAATGACAAAGATACTATCAAAAAATATTTATAATGTAGACCTTGACGCTGTAGAATTAAACCGTCGTCTTTTAGAACTAACAACTCCAGAAAGACATTTCCATAGACGACGTCCTTCGAAGAATACTCGCACAAGACATTTATCGTTACGCAGTGCATCTCGGCATAAATCTTCGGGCAGTAATTCGTCGCGTGAGGAAATGATGGGTACCGATTTTTCAGTTTTTGTTAAGACAGCAAATGAGAATCGTAAATCAGGTCGTAGACCCATGAGTATGCATCAAGAAATTGGCTCATTTGAATCAAAGTCACAAGCCCTATTGAATATTGGGGCAACAGTATTTAGTGGTGGTGGATCATCCATTCATTCTGGAAGTGTTGCATCTGATGAGGAGGATCAATGTTACGACGAGGATGATTATTTTGATGCTAATAGCGAAATAGCTGCGGATGACGCAGCAGAAGTGAGGGTAATAGCCCTATACTAAAAGTATTATAAATATTCATTAAACTTAATTTATTAATCAATTTGTTTCCCCTATTTTAGTCAAATCGAACATCATCATCATCGGTGTTTTTTGCTCAACCTAATTTTAGCAGTGATAGGCTTTCGATATCATTAGCTAATTTCAGGTGTCCAGATTTTGTTAATATTGAAATGTTATTTTGGAATACAGAAGATGCACTGTTAGTATGGAAGAATTTGCTTTGTGCATTAGGAAATTTGAATTATATTCAGGTACATTAATATATTATTTGTTACATTTTCAGATAATATTAATTATTTGTGCTAATGATTTTTTTTTTTTTATATATTTCTTTTTTTTAGATTCCACCAAATCATTCCGAAGCGATTAAATGTATAGTTGATATTTTAGATATGCTTATTTTGGTAAACAATTTATTCTTAAAGATTTTTAATTTTATTTGAAAGTAAGATTAAATCATAACTTACGGTTGTTAGATCCGAAATAATCAATATGGAAATGTTTCGATACCCTTACTTTGTGATTTTGCACCTTGGCTATTCGAAGCTTGCGATTTACCTTTGTAAGAGAAAATTTAAGTTATTTTGTGAGATTTTTTCTTTTTTTTTTTAAAAAATAAAAAAAAAAATTATAGGGCATTCGCACGAGGACGTGCGCTCGCGTATGCTGGATTATGCAAATTGATGTCATGTCGTCACGATAAAGACTTTGATGAGAAATATTATTCTCATTTTTATCGTGCTTTATTAAAAGGACTATCAGATCAAGATTTGTTAATAACTCTCGCAATTATTAATAATTCTACGAGATTATTTTCTCAAAATCTTCCTGGTTGCAATATTCTTTATCGTAGTCTAATTGTCACTATCAGGAATTTGTTATCAAAGCATCACGATCATATTACGGATGGGATATCACAAAATGCAATTACTATACTTTGTTCACTAGTTTGTATTGTAGATCAGTTACCTTCTTTGAAGGTACCTAATTTATCTTATGAAAATCTAACCAAGATGAACGAGGAAAGTTTGAATGTATTAAAATTTGGTCAAAATGATGGTATAAAATTCTCCGAGGTAAGTTCAATTTTGTATAAATGTAGAATAAATATTCATTTTTAAATTGTTAAAATTTATAAATTTTTTAGTTGAGATTAATGTTGCAAGAAACCTTAGTAAGATCACTTTCAAATGAGGAAACAATTAACAATTATGAAACACATAATATGTTGCTATATGGATTATGTACTCTTTCATTTGATGAACTTACAACAACACCTTGGTAATTATAAAATAATTTGAATTATATGAATTATAAATTAAAATACTTTTTTTATAAATACATAGGTCGGATAAAATAGTTATCAAAGGTTGTTTTCAAGCTTTATTGGAACAGCTATATTGGAGTCATTTACCAGTTGTTACTGCTGCAGCAGATTGCCTAATAACTTTTGCTCAGAATTCTTCATTGTGGTGTGAAGATGAAGAGGTACGCGATGAATCTTAAGGTATTTCCTATTACCAATATCTAATTAATATTGAGCGTGTTTTGTGTCATTTCAGATATATTTTATGATTCTGCAAGACGTATTCGGAAATTTGATTGGAGCTTTGAATGAACATATTGCATTACAAAAAGCATCACACAGAAATGGAAGAGGTAAAGACTTATTTTATTTCTTAAAAATATGAATTACACTAACTTTTTTGATGTATTTTTCATATAGGATTTATAATAGCCAAAATATTTTATTGCCTTCTTGAATGGCTAATGATTATCCCTTCAAATCTTTTTACGGACACAGAATTATGTCAACTTGTATTTGATTCAATTGAAATGGCTTGTGACATTTCAAATGTAAGTAAATATATATTTTTTAAACTTAATAAATAATTCGTGTAAATATTTTACTTAAATTCTTTATACATTAGTCGGAATCAAATAAACATCAGAAAAAAGAATTTCCAAGATCATCACATAATAGTAAAAGTAACCGTTCAAATCATGGTTATCCAATAAAATTTAAAAAATCAGAGAGGAAAATTTCCGTTAATCGTGAGGTGGGGGATGATAATGTTTTTGGAGTCGACAACTCTGTAGAGGATGTAAATTTTGTTAAGGTATTATTCTATTTATTAGGCTGATCAAACTTACATGATAATGAATTTGTTATATACTTTGTTTTCTTTTTTTAGGACATCGCAGAATTTGTTTTGTTACATTTAACACACCACTTGGGTAATTTTTCACCAATACACGGACCAGGTATGATGCATAGGTAAATATCAACGAGCATTAATATTATATCATTTTTCTTAAGAAAAAGAAAATAAATTTAACATATTTATTCAGTACGCTGGTAGGACCTATTGGAGCTGACACAAAAGATGAAGAACTTTCAAATAATTATCATTATTTTTCATTTAATGATACAGCAATAATAACATTAGTTGAAATACCAGGGAAAAGTTCATCAGGTAAGAAATTATATTACAAGTAGCTTCTTATTTACCTTGGAAATTAATAATGAATAAATGTATATATATATATTTTTTTTAATTAAAAAAAAAAAGAATCACGAATGATAATTCGTGATTTTACAGGAAAATATTCATGGGATTCTAAATTATTTTATGAAAATAAACCTTTCTTTACTAGAAATAATTTAATAAAACCTAACAATACAGTATGTGAAAATATAATTTTCAAACCGGATATTAAACTGGTACCTAATTCTTCAAGAGCTAATTCGTAAGTTTCATTATCTGTTTAAGCGCGTTTATTTTATGGCATCAAGTTTTAATATATATTTCTTGTTTTAAAAAAAAAGGACAACTTCGTTGAGGACGAAAGCGCAAAATAGATCTAGTAAAATTTTCGAAGGTAAAAATGGATTACCTGTATTGACGGAAATTCGTCAATCCGAACGTACTAACATGTTGGATAATATACTTCAATAGTAAGTATGGCTTAAAGACTTTATTATTGCAATTACCTAAAAAGATTATATTTTATGAAAATACTTTTATTACAAATAGTATTGGCGAACAAGTGACGAATTCGCAATCTGAAACATCCAATCAAATGTATCCAAAAAGATCAAAAGAGTTATTGTCGATTGAAAAAGAACTGGATAGACATATCCAAGAAGAAATTCTTTATGACAAGGCTACAGATATTCAAGCGTAAGTTTCGTTGAGGAAAAATTTTTCTTCGTTGCTTTAAATATTTATTAAGTTTTTCATTTTTTCAGACAATCTTGGTATGAAAATGATATTTCGTTAAGAAATAGCACATTACAGGACGATAAAATTAATAGACTCTCAAGAAATCCATTATATTCACGATCAACATCATATTTTTCACTTGGAGCAGATTTTTCACTATCAAAATCATTTTTACCTGCTTTGCCACCAGTAGCCGAAAAACATTTAGAACCATATCAACAATGTAGATTATTTTTAAGTCACTTTGGATGGTTAACACCTGAATCTTTAAATGATGGTACAATATGTGTATTAAATAAAGGAAATACGTTATTTAGGGATATTAGATTATTAGATAAAAGATATGCAAGAGAAGTTTTTAAATTTGCTTTGTTGTATGTTGGGCCAGGCCAAGAAGATGAACAAAGTATTTTACGTAATACAAATGGAAGTGAAGAATATAATGAATTTGTGCAAAGTCTTGGATGGGAAATTGATTTAACTACTCATCCTGGTTATCTTGGTGGATTAGAAAGGAATGCTTCAAATGGATTAACCGCTATTTATTATTGTACCTCAACTATTGAAATTATATTCCATGATGTAACCAAGATGCCAACTGATCCAATTGACCCAAAACAATTAAGAAAGGTACGTTAAAAACCTGTAATTGCCTATTAATCTTTTTGACATCTGAGTGATGTTAAATTTCGATCATCTGAATTTTTTTAACTTCTGTTTTCTTTTTCTTTTTTTAAAAGAAACGACATATAGGAAATGATCATGTACATATTATATGGAATGAGCATTTTAGAGATTATCGTAAAGGTACAATAGGAGGAGATTTTGGAAATGCACAAATAGTAATATCACCCTTACCAAATGGATTATATAATGTTGATATTTATAGAGATTCAAAAATACCACCATTTGGACCATTATTACATGGTATGATAATATCACGTAGTGTATTAGGGCCATTGGTTAGAATGACTGCAATACAAGCATATAGAAATAGTTTACATATTAATAGTATTAATAATTCAAATGTTTATCAACATCCTTATATGGAAAGAGCTGCTGATATTCAAATGATTATGAGTAGACACAAAAAAAATAATTGTAGTTCTTTTGAATCTTTTATGACTAAAATATTTGTTAGTGAAGATTTACCTGTATAATAATAATTAAATTTTTTATAAAGATTAATTTTAATTAAATTTTAAATTTAAAGTATTAATAAAATTTACTAAATTTATTATATTAATATTAAATTAAAATAAAATTTAAAATTTAACAAACTATCTAAATAATAAAAAGCATAATATTATATATTATCTAAATAATAAAAGGTATAATATTATATTATAATTTTTAATAAAAAATCTAAAAAACTCGTAAAAATGTAAGATTATTTATCTAAATCTATTTCAGATTTAGTAAGGTTAAACTTTTAATTACACTTATTTTTTACTAATATTTAATATAGTTTCACTATTTTATAAATTTTAATATAATTTTATTTTGCTTAATTTTCACAATTTTTAATATAATTTTGCTAAATTTTAATTTTTATCATTTAGATAACTTACAAAATCTTTGGATTTTATTTAGTAATCTTAATTATATTAAAAAAAACTTATAATAAAATTTTAAATCTAAAAATATAAATAAATAAATAATAAAAAATTGTTATTATATTTATTATATTTGTTAATATATTTTTCTTAGGGGATTAAGCATCTCTAGTTCAGTTGATAACAACTGAGCTCCTATTGTAGGTAATACTACAAAAATCATAAGTTCAGACCTCAGTTATAGATAAGAGACGAAACCCCTTAATAACAGTCTAAACTTAGACGAAATTATGTTAAAATCATAATAAGGGATACGACGAAACTTATTTGATATAACGAAAGCCGAAACTGTTGAAACTATATTAAAAATGATAGAAAAGGGTATGATGACATTTTGAGGAAGTTTTAGCAGGCATCTATAACCTCAGCTAAAGCATAAAACTAGATGATTTTCATAAGAATTTCATATGTAATTGAATACATAAGCATATGGACTAATATGCATTAGAAACTGGTAGATCAATCTGTTAATCTACATTGATCATGTCTAAATACTGGATTTGAAGAATAAATGGATGCAAATGAAACTAGAGATTGACAGAAATTTAGCTATCGCTGATAGGTCTGTAATGGATACTATCTCACGTCTTCAAACTCAGAGGCTTTTATACAAGAAAGTGGTTAATCAGTTATTAGTAGATCTGAAATGTATCACAGACTGACTTACACGCTATAGCTGTAATTCAGATCTTGTTACTATTAAGATTAGAGATCAGGTTTGATTTCTAGATAAGTTTAATGTTATAGGTACAAAGCCACTATCATAAAAGAACCTGATCCCTTGATCTCAATAGTTATCAATAGAGTAAAATCCTATAAGTGATAGTAAAAACAGTGCATCAATAATTGTGGCTAAAGTGAGCTCTCTATCCAATTCTAGTAATCAGTTAAAATAAATCTGTGTAGAAGTCAGTTAATACGAAATCTGAGATTAAAACCAGTGACTATTAGACTATAATACTAATGAAAACCCTCACTGTGTTGATATAAATACATGGTTACATAGTATTCATTCACGTGAGACCTTAAGAGAATGGGAAATTTGCTAAAATCTATCTCAATCCTCTTTCAGAATACACATCATTAAAAAAAATTAATATATTTTTCTTTTTATTAATAAGATAAAAAAATATTAATATATTTTTTTTTAAAAGTATATAATATTGATAGAAATTAATTTAAAATTTATATTATTTAAACATTAATCTTTTTATAATAAGATATAATAAATATTACAAATAAAAATAATATTATTAATTACCATGATTAAAGTAAACTTTATATTTAAATTTAGCAATTTATTCTTAAAATCTAATTAAGTAAAATTTAGTATCAAATCTAAATTAAACAGTATTAGTAATTAGACAATTAAACTAATTAGATAATTATATATGATTTAAATAATTCAAATAAACAATTAGATAATTAGACTTAATCCAATTGCTAACTACTTTTTTAACCAATTAAAATGTATAAATAATATATTAAAAATTTATAAAAGATTTAAAATATAAATTTTATTTATTAATTTTCGCTTATAACAAATTTTTTAAATAATTAAATACTAATAATGATATTTTGAATTTATTTAGTAAATAAAATTTAATTTCAATTATAAATTCAATTGATTAATTAAATAATTAAACATAATAAAATTTCAATAAATATTCAATTGAAAATTAGATAATTAGACATAATTGAACTATATTTAATTGTTTAATTGTTTAAAATTGTCTAATTCATTAATTAAACCATATATTAAATAATAATCTTAAAAATAGTAAAAAGTAAATTATATTAAAAGATAAGATCTATAGATAAAAGACAAAACTTTTTAATAAAATTTAAAACTTAATTTAAATTATATTAAATCATAATAAAAAATATAATAAAATCCTTTTAATATAATAAAAATTAAAGTCGTCAAAACTATATTAAAAAAGTATAATAAAATTATTTTAAAAAAGTTTTAATAAACATTTATAATAAGATTTAAGATGATTACTATAAAGAGTATATCTATGTGATATAGTATAAATGTTACTTTACTTATATATGTATATTATCAAAACTGAATATTTTAAAAAAAAAAATTAGATTATCTTAAAATTTCTTAAATTTAAAGATTATATAAAATAGTTTTAATTTAAAAATCTTATTATTAATAAAATTAATTAAAATATTTTATTACAATATAATAAAATTTAATAATATTATTTAAAATACTAAAATTGATTAAACTAATTTTTGAAAAATCAAATTATATGATTAAACTTATAATAAAATTAGCTAAATTTAAAATCTAAAATTATTGAACTAGTATAGAATAATAAAAATTAATTTTAATAAAAGTATTTTAATAAATACTGTATTAAATAATCTAACTAATTTTAAAAATATTTATAAGTTTTCTATTTTTTCATAAATTATATTATTTATATATTAATAATCAGTAATGTAATTGACCTCATTCTAATTAATTCAATTGGACGATTTGGACAATTAGACAATTAGACTATATCCAATTGTATTTAAATATCCAATTATTCAATTCAAATTTTATTGTATTTGGACTAGGTCTAATTATCCAATTAAACAATTGGAATTTGCAATTGGATTATGTCCAATTAATTATAAAACAATATTTTTGAAATATTGTGCCATTTTGCTTTATTTCAAATCCAGTTTACCGTTGAAATTTTAAATTCTAGATAAAAATAGAGAAATTAGTGTAATATTTCATATCACTATTACATTTTTTAAATTTAAACTATTTTCAGTAATAAAATTTTTTTTTGTGTTTTAACTCATCAAATTTTTTTTTTCACTATTTTTTTTTTTTTTAAAAAAAGAAATATATGAAATAAAATTTAATCAAATATTACCTATTAATTTTAATAATTTAATATCAGAATTGCTTATCTTATAAAAATTTATTGATATTATATCAAAAACTTCATCTATCATACTATTATCAGTCACAAAAATATCGTACGTAATCTTTTTTTTTCAGAATATTTTATTTTTAAAAATAAAACTGTATTACAATTTTAAAATAAATCGATAAATTGATTATTTTTTTTTTGTAATTTAAATATTTTAGCTAATTACCAATTTTTTTTAAAATAGTATGAAAGAAAAATACATACTTAGCAGATATTTTTTGATATTGGAAAAAAAATTCAATAAATGGAATAACTTTGCTATTTGTTGAGAATATATTTAGGTTTTAGGTCAGGAAGAAGCTATTAAGCAAAAATTTACTAATACCAAATAAGCATATGCAAAATATATAAAAAACTGTTCTTATTGGACTAAAAAATATATTCATAAATAACAAGATCAAGAGGATGAAATAATGGATATTATTGATACATATAACATTTCAGTTGATAATATTGAACAAATACAGCATCCTGCTATTGATTTACAAGCTAAATAGAAATTGAGTAATATTTTTATTGAAAATTTAGAATTGTCAAATTATTTTGAAAATTTTATTGTAGATAAAAATTAATAAATAAAGATTTAATATTTTATATTGATAATAAATTTTTTATATATATATCTTATTTTTTATAATATTTAATAAATAAAATAATATAATAAAACTTAATAAACTAATTTTATTAATTAATAATAGTAGTTGGAATTGGACTAAGTCCAATTGTCTAATTATTTAAATAACTTATTAGTATTAGTATAATTAGTCTAATTGTTTAATTGTTCAATTAATAACACTATTAATAATAGTATTTATAATAATAAAATCAATTATATTTACTAGTTATACTTTAAATATAAGATAAAAATTTAATATTAAATAAAAATAATTTAATAAATATAACAAAAAAAATTAATAATATAAGAGAGTTTCTAGGAAAATCAGGTTCTAAGAAATTTTTGACTAAAATTAAAAGTTTAATACATTTTAATCTAATAACATCAAAAACTAAAATGTAATAAAAATCTCAATTTTGCTAAAAAATCTCTAGAATCTAATTTTCCTAGCAATTAACCTATATAATAAAAATAAAATTTAATAATTACTTTATTTATTAAAATTTATTAGCTTTATCATTTTTTTTAATTTAATTAAATTAACTTTGTAATAATATGGTTTAATTTTTAATATTATATTAAAATTTATAATTTAAAATTTTATTTTAAAAATTAAATAATATAACTTAAATTATTTTATAAGAAATTTTAATATAATATATATAATTTTTATATAATTAATTATTTAAATTAAAATTTTACATTGATTTAATTTTATTAAATTTAAAAAAATTTTTTTATCTTAAGTAATTTTACTAATAATAAGTATTATTAAAGATTTTTATTTTAAATTATATATTTTAATTTATATAAAAATATAAAAAATTATCCCTTAAACTATAAATATAAAATTATTTTAAAATATTTTTAGAAAACTTAAAATATTTTGATATCTAATAATTATAAAAAAATAAAATAAAATTTATAAATTTATCATATTATAATATATCTAATGATATTATTTTAAACTTTTAAAATTTATA